GGCAGTTGCAGACCGTCACTTCATGACATTAACATAGGACAGATAACACTTGACAAAGTAGATTGTTGCCTATGAAAGCTCCTGCCCCTGAACCAGGTGCTACCCTGTCCTACCTTTTGCATAATATTTATTAGAGGTTGGTTTAAAGCCCAAGGAAAACAACTTGCATCTTTCCCAAAATCTTAAGGTTTTTAAAAAACTTTAAGTGTCACAACTCGGGATATTGTTATTATCCATGTAAATTAGTCAAATGCAACATTATAAAATGAATGCGTGTCCTTCTGTGAAGCTGACAAATCTAGATCTGAGGGACTAGCACAGAATTTCTGTGGAAAGCCATAGAAAATGTCAATTAGGATTTAGAATCACGAACATACAGCAATAAAAACAGATCCTTTGCAACATTTAATATTTTAAAACAGCAGAACCTCTTTGACGACTCTTTTAAGCCTGGTTGTACAACTTGGGATAAGCAGTCTCTTTCTTGGATTTGCCAAAGATCTGCTGATACAGAAGCTGTTTTGAGTGTGGTAGTTTCACAAAAGTAAACTGTGGGCATGTCTACAGGAGACATTTACTGAGCAGCTGACTATATTAACTGTGCACTAAATATCTTGCCATCTCCATATGCCCTATTCGGGCACACGAAATGCATTCTGCAGCAGGGTAGTACTTGCAAAATGCAACTACTACTCTGCTGTGGAGGTTTTCATGCACGGTAGCACATGGGTCGACGCTGCCCTGGCTGGCTGGGGCACAGGGTGCATCCGTGTAGGGCTAGCTGGCAGGCAGCCACCACGCTGAAGCCCCTCTGCAGCATGTGGAGCCTAGGCTGGCAAGCTGACCCCCTGGGTCCATTGCCTCATGCTGCTCTGACCAGGCTCCATGCACTGCGCACAAATACGCTCCAGAGTTTATTTGTGTACATTAATCGCAAGTGTAGAGGTGCTCTCTTGGAGCGAAACACGTTCTGTAAAGAGTAACCTACAATGTATTGTAATACTAAAAGCATAGCTTCTCTAGCACCAGCCAAGGGATTTTTATATTTTTTTACTATATGGTGCAAGTTGCAAGACTAAGGGCCTGACTGCATGACCCTGAATAGTTTACACCGATCAGCCTTACAGAGGACAAGAGAACTATTTCTTGAATGAGGCATTCCTCACTGTAAGCAAGGGTAGGTAGCACAGTCCGATCCTAAGTGTTAAAACTGGAAACTATTAACAAACCAGCTATTTCACCTGGCTGGGGTCATCTGACCCCAGCGCTCTTTCCTGCCCAGAGCAGGGGGTCGGACTCGATGATCTAATAGGTCCCTTCCGACCCTAGCATCTATGAAATCTAAGAAACTTTTCCTTGGATTCTACGTCTGTAAAAACAGATCTAAAAAGACTATGTGCTAGCTTTGGCATATGTGCTTTAAAGCTGCAGGTAATTAAAAATAATTACTTAGCAAAGTTCTTACTACTTGCCTAGTTTTAACTGAACGAGTAGCCTTACTGAAATAGCTCCTTCATGCCTAAAGTTGGCCACATGCCTAAGTATTTGCTGAACAAGGAACACAGGTAAATGCTTACCTTCCAATATGCTTTTGACCAAAATACTGGCATTCTTGGGATAACGCTGATACTTCAGCCTGCGACTGGAAACCGAACATTCACTATCAACGCTTTTCTTAGCCTGTTCAAAGTCATGGAAAGAAATATGACAAGTTATGCAATTCATTTCACTCGTTTCGTTGCTAGAATACCACCAAAACGAGCATACTAGACATACTCAAGTTATTTTGAAAGAAGGAGGAAAATATCAGTCAAAAGGATTTAAAAAAAGAAAAATCTCTATAATCTTATTTTATAAATCCCACCTAGACATTTGAGTTTGTTGTTAACTGCATCTTGTTAGAAATCTAGAAACTTAACACACATTTAATTATCTGAACAGACTTTCATTTTGTTGCAGACTTAAAGAGGGGAAAGCAACCTTCTTCATTGACTCCTTTTCCCCTTTTCGCCACTTAAAACATGCGAGGGCACAATTCAGCCAGTGAAAAGCAAGCCGATGCTAACACACTGGGCACGATCTTGTCCAACAGATGCTGGTTCTTCAACACAATCTACATTTCCTACAGAGGCTCACAGACACCGTAGGGAAAAAACACCTGTCTGACAGAGCGACTGCAGCTCTTCTTCATTCCTCACCCCAGGACAATTACAGAGGAATTGAGATTTCAACCCCAAAGTGTTTGTGGCCACAGAGTAATTCTGTAAAAATAAGGAGCAGACGACAGCGCTATTTTTGAAATATGCATTCAAAGGGAGCGTTCCTCCGCTCCTCCCTGAAGCCCTGAACTCCTTTCCTTGACGCCGAAGAAAATGTCAGTTGTCAGGAATACGCAGGCTGGGACTTCTGACAGCGGGAGCCCAACGCCGAGATGCGCTCGCTGCGCTCCCCACCGGAGATCTGCTGCTGGAGGGGGCGACGTCCCAGCCGAGAGCTCGGGAACGCTGCCACTCAGCTCAAACGAGCGGCTCGGTTTCCCAGGCCCCGAGGGCACTGGCGCTGGGGAGCGCTCGGCACCCGACAACGTGGCCACCTGCCCAGATGCTCAACCAGCCGGAGCCTGCCTGAACAGCCACTTCCCTTATTTGAGGACAATGCCCAGCGCCCTAAATCTGGATGTGCAAAACTGCAGGCAGACGCAGGTGGGGTTGGGGGCGCTTCACACAGCCGCAGCCTTTCCCCGACACCAGCAGTGCCCTACCGGGTCCGTCCTGTCCCCAACATCCAACTAATCTCCAATTAGTCCGCACCCTTCCCCTGGCTTCCTTCCACCATGAGGTGCCGCGAGCAGAGCCGTGCATGTGCCAGCCTCTGACCCCTCTTACACAGGGCATCCCACACAGTATCTGCCCACCCTCTCCAAAAAAAATTTTTTTTTAAGTTTTGCAATTGTACCCATTTCCCAGACGCGGCAAAGTGAGGTAACTGGAACCCTCCAATTAAAAAAAAATATATTTTTTTTAATTGTACCCATTTCACAGACGCGGCAAACTGAGGCGCGGCGCAGAGCTCACCTGGGCGCCG